CACCACAACAGTTAAAATAAGGAAAAATCAATCTCTTTTTGTGAAATTGGGGTCTGTTTATGTATTTCGAACTAACAATACATCATACATTGGGCTGTCAAAGAAAAGACCGAAACACATCAACCGTACAGCCTTTAGTAATGGAACTTTGCAAACTTGTTATCATGCACACGTATAACAACATTACAGGAGGGTTTTGATCCAAAGCAATTACTTTTTTTTCAATGATATAAGTACATGGTCGAAGAGTTTTTTTCATAGACTGGAAGACATCTAGGAGTATGGGTTCCCTTTTCACATTTCAATTTTTTTTTGGTAAATGCTTGTTTGCAAAAAGTCCTCCTGTAGATTTATTGCAAATATAATGGGGAATATATATGTGTGCAAAATTTGATTTCCATCAAGCATTTTTGGAGGGAGAGCCATTGAAAGGGCAGAAAATGTTAAATTTTAATTTGAGAAAACAGAAAAGAAAAAAAAAGTCAAAACAGGAGAAATATCATCCAAACAGCCTCCAGTGTCATAGCAAAGATGACAACTCACATACAACGGACTACTTGTAAAGGTGTAATCTACACTCAAAATATGATAAATGGACATCTATAGTGAAATTGTGTTGATTTTACTTAGTAGAAGCCTTGTAGAAGACTGCTTTCAAAGGCATTTATTTTATATTTTGAGAATATATTTGTGTGACCACCCCTACCTCCTAAAGATACAAAATTTGACACTTTGGGCCAATTTTGTAGTTGTGGCGCTATGTGCAATCAGCGCAGGACATACTATTTTTCCTTAAGAATCGACCAAAAGCAGGGTATCGGTATCTTCAACCCAGGTTGATAATTTGTCTTGATCCCTTACGCTTGAAGCCCCTTTTCGTCTTATTGAACGTTGAAGAAATACTGAGAATAAGTTGTTTCCAATGTATTTAGTTGAATAGTGTTACATTCCCCTGCCGATGTTGAACGATTGTGATGTGCACTACACTCTTAGAGTTCTTCACTGATACTGAGAACAAGTTGCTTATAATTTATAGGATGGAAAAAAAATGTTAGGGTACCACTTTCAACTCTGACCCTGCCTAACAAAGGGACGCAAAAAAGTAAAAAGATAAAACGGCAAAGGAGCTGCGTCTTTTGGAAAGTGGTTTACACAGTAATTTTCCAATGCAGATAAACAAATGGCCAGTATTATAGTGTGCCTCTTCACTTCTTTACTGCTCTGTGTTATGATGTTGGAGAAGGTTTGTCGAAGCTCTCAACTCTTATTTTCTCGGTGAACTACACCTACTGATGAGCATTATTGTATAATCTTAAATACATTCAAAGCATCTGGGATTAAATGTTTTATGAGCCCAGATATATGGCTTATGCATTCTACTCAACGCCTTTGATAAATTTGTTATAAACTTTGTGCGACTTCGTCGATACAATTAAGATCATTATGCAGATAGACTGTTTGGTCCTGCCTGTCAAAGGCAACCACGTGCGCGCGTGCGTGTATGTATGTATGTGTGTGTGTGTGTGTGTGTGTGTGTGTGTGTGTGTATGTGTGTGTGTGTGTGTGTGTGTGTGTGTGTTTGGGTTACATCTTAACATAGAGACGGAAATACTCGATAGAAAACTGCCTTTCATGAGGATTGACTCCAGTCCTTGGAGTCCAAAGATGGGAACCTAGCTATTGCACAACAGACACGGGCCAGTGTAAATGAGACCTCATAAATATGTAACGCCCACATTGTGGTGAAACCTTTTGTCACAGAAATCGAAAGCTAATCGAAAGGTTGGTGTCATGGATCTTTTCTCAAAGCGAACGCTTTCCCGTCTTGTCGAGGAAATAATACTGTTAGACATCCCTGGGTCCCTGGTTTTCAATTTGTATTCACAAATCTTTACTGAACTCGACAATTGATTGATTTCGGGTCTCACACTGACCCCCATGTTTAGGGGAAAAAGGCTGGAGGAAGATCAATCAATCTGACAAAATAAATGCAAAGTGATAGCGTGTTTTTGCCACAGGAGAACCAGTTTTGGGGGGGGCTAAAATAATAAGGGCACTTTCGTTGTTTCAGGAGAGTTACGTTGAAGCCGTATTAGCCTTCAATTCTCTACCTTCCTGTTACTAAATTGGTTGTTTTGGGGGGTTTTTTTCTTTAATATTTTTCAGAAATCCTCATTGACAACTGGGGAAATTATTTACATTCACACTGCTTCTTAATACACGACATGTGGGTGGTTTTGAGATGTTCTGCACGATAGAGTGCCGTTCTACTCCAGGAGGAGGATAGAAAACATTTTTCCAAGCCCTGACAGGCAGTTCGCACACATAAATGAAATCATGAGAGGTCTCACGTTCAGTTGAGCTGCCATTGTGCTTTTTATTATAGATTAGTCAAGGTGAGGCCTGGTCAATGATTTATTCATAGAAAAATATTAGGTATCTCTATTGGGAGAGCGAATATCCAAATAAATGCATTACACATAGACGTATTAATCATATTGCCATCGATCGACATGAGAGAGAGAGAGAGAGAGAGAGAGAGAGAGAGAGAGAGAGAGATAGAGAGAGAGAGAGAGAGAGAGAGATAGATAGAGAGAGAGAGAGAGAGAGAGAGAGAGAGAGAGAGAGAGAGAGAGAGAGAGAGAGAGTAATAGTTCCCTTTGAACATTATATAATATATTTCTTCTCTTAAGATAAATCTAATACATACCTCACATCAATACGCTTCGGTCAAATTGTTAGACTATCATGAACTATAATTGATACTGGTGGTTGCACTTACACAGCCTTACTGGTATAATACTTTACTAAGGAGCGCATGGTCTGGGTTCAATATTCCAAAGAGAACGTTCTTGAGCTGATCTCGGATCCTATCGAAGAGGAAAGCTTCAGCAATTTTTTTGTTTGTTTAGTTAAACATTGAAAACATTTATCTTGTTTCTCTTCTTTAGACTTGTTAAAAAAGAACTATCCTACATGAATATTGATTGTGTACGTTACGTACTCTTCGTTATGAATGAAACAAAGGTGCATATCAATTAACTCCCTCTTTTTCTGTGGTCCATAGTTGTTGTTTTTTCCTTTTAATTTCGTTTAACTTTTCTCTCCTCCAATTACCTCAATGCATTCTGCAGGAAATGTGTTATCAGTAGTGAGTGGTTCCTCCACTTGCCGAGCTCTCACTTTCATTAAGAGATAAGAGAACCTGTGCGGCACCGTTTAGAGCCTGTGCCCTTATCCAACCCCTTATCACACATTTCCACGAGAACGTCTTGGTGTGATCCATTAGCTAAAGAGCGCTCCTGAACTAAGACCTTACGTTCAGTGCCCTTTTGTCCGATTTTTTTTTTCAAAACTATTGAAAATGAGATGGCGTTTCTCGACAAATTATTCATTTTCTTACCTGCCTACTTACCAGCCTACCAACCTATCAACCTACCTACCTACCAACCTACCTACCTCCCTACCTACTACACATACATACTCACAAAAACACACATACAAACGTTTTTGCACTTACGCATATTTAAAGAACACGTGCAGTTTCATATCTTGTATGAGGGGGCTCTGGTGGCCTAGAAGTTAAGGTGTTGGCCTCTCATTCAAAGTTCCCGGGTTCGAATCCGGGTAGCACTTCTCTAAAATTGTCTCCTTTCACCTCCTTTCCTGCTCTCTAGCAATATTCTGTCGTCTGCTTTCATCTCCTCTTTCTGCCCCCACCCCCTCACCTCCTTTGCCCCCTCCTCTGGGCTCCTGACTCTTTCTGCAGCCTTTCTACTGCTACTCCTTGACTCCTTACAGCTGTCTTTCTGCCACACCCCTGATCTTCTGGTAGGAAAGATATACACCTAGCCTTCTCGGACAAGGGCGAAAAATCTCGGAGAGCCCATGTGCAAGTTGCGCACGTTAAAGATCCCTTGGTGGTCTAAAATCGATAAGAGTAGGCTTCGGCCGCCACCCGGGCAAAATTCAAAATTTACTACCAACTGAACGTATTAGGTGTGTCCCGCGCGCTCATGACCTTATGCAGTTGCGAGCGCCGTAAAACACTTACCAAAACAAACCAAAACATATTTTGTATGTATCTATCTATACCATGTAGGTGTGCATGTATTTGTTTGTTTGTGTGTGTGTTCCGATTTGTTTGTTTTGTGTGTGTGTTTGTTTGTTTGTTTGTTTTTGTTGTCTTTGTCTTTGTGCAACATTTAAACACAGCAGTGCATGAATTCAACCTCATAAAGCCACACACACACACATACATACACACACACACACACACACACACACACACACACACACACATACACACACACACACACACACACACAAATAGACAATTCTTTTGTATTCACAAGAATGGGCACGCACACAAGAACACCCTAACCACTTGCACTGTATCAGAGAAAGAATGAAAAAGAGACAGAGAGAACAAGAGAGAGAGGATATGGGGAGGAGAGAGACAGACGGGGAGAGACAGGCAGAGAGAAAGAGACACTGAGAGAGAAATGGGAGAGCGAAAGAAATGGAGGTAGGGGAGATAGGGGACAGAAAGAGAGTGACAGAGAGAGAGAGAGAGAGAGAGAGAGAGAGAGAGAGAGAGAGAGAGAGAGAGAAAGAGAGAGAGAGAAAGAGAAAGAGAGAGATGGGGAGGAGAGGGGGAAGACAGAGAGACAGAGAAACAGAGAGAGAGAGAGAGAGAGAGAGAAAGAGAGAGAGAGAGAGGAGAGAGATAGATAGATAAAGAGAGGGAGATGGGGGAGGGGGGCAGGGGTTGGGAACACACATTCCAAAACACACCAACCTACACAGACCCGCCCAAAGAACGCCATGTTTATTCTTGTGCATTTTCCTTGAAGACAGGCCAGCCCTTTCACCTGATGTCTTCTAGATAACATGGACAGGTTTCGTCAAGACTTCGTCAGAAAGGAATGTAATTGATGTAAACAAATTTTGAAAACTTAAAAAAGAAATAATTCTCTTTCTCTTCTGTGTGTCCTCAGAGCAACCAGAAGCAGACACAAAATCCGTTTATGTTACCGAGGCATTAGAAGGTCGATCAGTCTGCGATCCCCCGGGTAAGTTCTGAATCTTCTCCTACTAGAGAACAGTAGAGAAAAAACCCCTAAGCGATCTTGTTTTGTTTCTTGTTTTTAGGGAATTGTTGCAGTGTCTGTCTGTTTCGTGCTGTGTTTCTTCTCAAAAATCAATTTAAAGAAAGTTAAAGTGAGTGCCAGTATATTTTCCACGTTTCAGTTTGTGTAAGCTGTTCCCAGTAGAGAGCTGGTAATCTTATTAAGCGTGTGTGTCTCTTTGTACTAAGGCAACAGATTTTCCTTTATGTTTGGAGGGCACCCCTGGTGGATCTTTTAAATATAAAAATAATATTTTCTTTACATATCTAAATACAAGGTGTCCCAAAAGTCATTCACCATTATGAAAACGTTCTTCGTACACGGAAACTGATGCTTTGATGGATGCAGTAACTACAGAGAGCCAAGAGCACCTCTGAAACATATAGGCGTACAAAGATAACATGCTTTCTAAGTTGCTGACGAAGCTCAAAACAGTATTGATATAGACCAATATAATTATATATATATACAATATATAATATATATATATATATATATATATATATATATATATATATATATATAAATTATAACCTTACCTTTCTTTTTAATTTACGAAGCTGATTCTTTCGGCTCTTAGCAAGCACTCAATGGCCGTCAACTTCTCGATAAGCAAATTATTCTGTTTCCTGAACTCTCTCTCTCTCTCTCTCTCTCTCTCTCTCTCTCTCTCTCTCTCTCTCTCTCTCTCTCTCTCTCTCTCTCTGTCTTTCTCTCTTTCTCTGTCTTTCTCTCTTTCTTACTTTCTTTCTCTCTCTCTCTCAGTCTATCTATCTATCTATCTATCTATCTATCTATCTATCTATCTATCTATCTATCTATCTATCTATCTATCTATCTATCTATCTATCTATCTGCCAGTTTCTCCCCCTCTGTCCCGTCTTTTACACCCCTCTGTCCCAATAATTCCATCAACAATCCCTGTACAATTCATCTTTCCTTTGCATCCCTCCCTCTCTCTCTCTCTCTCTCTCTCTCTCTCTCTCTCTCTCTCTCTCTCTCTCTCATTGTATTCAACTTTTGCGCTAGCGCTTACTTTCATCCTTCCCCGACCTATTATGTCAGCCTTCTTTGCTACACTGCGTTCCTCTAATCCTTTCCTTGCTATTTCTTCAAAGCGCTTTCCTGGTTATCACTTTTATCGAACATCTGTGCCTGTATCCAATCCAACTCCATTCTCTCAGTGTCACCTCATTTTTATCAATTTTACCTCCACGAAAGCGTTGAACCTCCTTAGGATAGCGAAGGTAATAAGTACTTCCACCTCCCCCACCCCCCCCTTTTCCCAGCGTGGTTATATAAACAAATTGTCTTTGAGTAAACTACCAATACTCTGATTTTTGTAATTTTGATAAGATATATATCAGCTGTAAGGCAACGCAGTAGTTTTATCTCGTGTGGACTCCATTTTGTTTTTGTTATGTTTTAAATCCCTTTGAAAGCTTTCAAGTCCACTGGCGAAGAGGGGAATTAGTCCAATACAGAACGGAACATTCTTCGGAGCCTGGGCATTTACCTTAATACATTTGGACTCAAAAGATTTTTTTCAACAGCCTCGACTGATGTGACAAGCACTCCATAAAGACAGAGATTGGAATAATACAGTATAAAACTCACATTGCGGGTATGCAAAATCAACACCTTTCTTTCTGCCTTCCTCTCCTCAAGCACTTGCCCCAAAATATGGACTCAGAGGAGACTTGTTTTTGTCCTGTAGGGGGCGTTACACTTTAAAAGACCAAAGAAAAACGCCAAAGTCTTCTGTGCGGAGGGGGAACGAACTGGGGATACCTGCAAACCATTATCTTGTTCTCCTTACAAAGATCACGTCCGCTCATCCGGCATCCTTCGAGATTCAACTTGGGGATATTTTTTTCCGTTTTCCTTAAGCTCTGTTCTGGCATGGGTTTTCTTTCCATCCCTCTTGGGCATCCTTAATGTACTTGCAATGGAATCAACATAAACCCATTCAGCTGTCTCGGCAGCTATCTACAAGGCCGGGGTTTTAGACACGGTGGCCGGTTCGCCGTGAAATCGTCTGTGAAACGCACTTTTATATACCGCTGAGGTAAAGGGCATTGACAACTGGTTTTTTTCGAATATTGCTGGAAGCTGCTCAATATAATTCATAACGCATCTGCAAACAGCCCCATCACTCCCTTCTGCGAAACTTTGTCTTTGTCAAATCCAGTTCAATGCTTCAAAAGAAATGCTGGAAAGTTCACGCACTGAAGGCATTTTCAATAACTGGTCTTAATGGATAAAAAGTGTGAATATTTCAGCTTGTTTACAGAGTGGGGAGGAGTAAAGTCAAATAAATCATCAAAATTCAGAGATGTTACACGTTCTGTTTATACACAATGATATATACACAAATAGTTAGAAAATGGCCTCAATGTATGCATCGGCAATTTAGCGACTACATAACAATATGAGAATTTTGCTATTTGGAAATTTAGAAATAAAAAAAGTGTGTACTAAGGCAGATACAAACAAAGACGTAAACACACACACACACACACACACACACACAATTACACACACACACACACACACATACTATATTTATATATATATATATATATATATAAATAAACACACACACACACATCACACTCATACACGCGTCCATTTGAAACCTCTTCTATTGTGTGTCTGTTTTCTAGACAATCTCTCTGTCTGTCTGTCTACCCCCCCCCCCCCATTTCTCTTTCTCTCTGTCTGTCTGTCTGTCAGTCAGTCTGTCTGTCTGTCTGTCACTTTGTTTCTCTCTGTCTGTCTCTCTCTGTCTCTCTGTCTCTGTCTCTCTCTCTCTCTCTCTCTCTCTCTCTCTCTCTTTCACACACACACACACAAAACACACACACACACACACACACACACACACACACACACACACACACACACACACAGGGGCGAAGGCTGACTTGTAATCAAAGTCAGATGGGACCAGTATAGGGCCTGGAGATATCACACAAGAATCTTACTCGAGGCGGCAACACTGAGTTGTGAATGAAAACAAATCCTGAATTCATGTTGTATGCATGTTCAACCGCTAAAATAATCGGGAAAGTATCTCATTAAATATATATTCTAACAAACATTAAATTTATAATTAGATGTGAATACACAAACACAAGGCAAAGAAGCAGAGATGTCTGTTCTACAAGTAACACCAGTGTGTCTAAACTCTTTGGTAGAATATGACAATTATTTATTTTTTATTTCACATTTGGCTGTTTTTGTCTAGCCTTTCGCGGCCAGGAAGCGGTGTCATAATCGAGGTCATGATCTGTTTATAGGACGGTAATAAGTAGTAGTAGTAGTAGTAGTAGTAGTATAGCTCTCTAACCCATACAAGAACAGTCAGTATGTTACCAGGAGCGAATTAGAATGATAGTAATATAATGATACACAGATAGACCTGAGCTCATTTATATAAGACAATGTGGTATTCCCACCAAAATGTTTCGCGGCCAGGAGCCGGTGTCATAATCGAGGTCACGATCTGATTATTGGACGGTAAAAAGTCGAGGAAAAAAACAAGAACTCGCAGCAGTCAAGATATTATTATGAGTTAGTTCCCCTCACATATGTGAGGTAGACTCGACCGGTGTAATAGTTAGCATACATAATTAGTGCTTGTGACTGCTTATAACTGTGGCCCGAATGGGGTGAACAGGGTATATGTGGCAATGAAACAGCTTTGAGTGCTGTATACATGTTCCCTTCAACTCTTTTGGTAGACTCTTCCAGCCTCACTGTAAGCTTTCTTAATCAAAGCTTGCGACTGCTTATGGAGTGGCCCGATAGGGGTGAACAGGATATTTCTGTGACAATGAAACCGTTTTGAAAGTTAGGCATACTGTTCGTTGGTGATTATGAACGTCTTTTTACGTAATATAATTTTTGAGGTTTACGTCTATGTGTGAATTTGACTGCGACAATGTTTCAAAATTAGGAAGGGAAGCAGTGATAATTTGATTATATAGACGCTTCGTCACTGCACACACACACACACACACACACACACACACACACACAAACACACGGACGCACGCACATACACACGCACATACACACACAACCATCCCTACCTGATACCCGGGGGCGGCTCGTGGGTCTAAAAAGTGGGCCTGCACAATTAAGTTATCTTAGGCTGAAGATAATCAAGGGCAGAGTAAAAGGGATGGTGTATAATTTTAGGATCTTTGGGTTGATGGAGGAAGACCTTGTGCTTTTATTTTCATTCTTTTTACTTGTGGCTTTGACTTCTAAAACTAAATCTGTTTGTTAGCTAAACGTTAATTTTCATCCATCCTGCATCAAAACTGAACACTCAAGTAATACCTTTCACCACTCTACTACAAAACCGTTCAAGAGCACAACTCATAGGACCGCGACTTAAGTATGTCACGTTCACCTCCTCAGGTTCACAGTCACAGAGTCACTTAAAATAGTGACAAGACAATGAACCAATCAAAATTCACTTGAGCACTCCGCTGGATTGCTTCGGGGCCCACATAATTTTGGCATGGAATAGTGCACAATCTATGGCGTTTATTTTTAGATTGCCTACTGTGGGCTATGTTTCGGCGCTATTCGGCAGGAGCACATTTGAGATGTGCCGTCTTATTAATATTAATGTACCGTCAAATTCTCTACAAGTGTCGTCATCGCTTGTGTTATCCCAAAGAGCGATATATAGGTCAGGTTTCCACTGTTGACTATCCTGTTATGTTTAGATACAGCGCATGAACTTAGGCATGGCATAGTAGATGTTTTACGGCGCTATAGAATATAAATGACAGGTACGGCGCCAGCGAGGGCCTTGCTTTGATATAATATTTGGCTAGTGTTTGTTTCTGTCGTCTTTTATTTTATTATTGTGGGTGTTTTACGTCATAGAACATTAAATCATTTTGGGCGGCACTACACGACCG